TTTTCAATATTCAATTTTTCGAAATTTCAGTTTATTTGTTATTCAGTTTTTCGATTTCTCAATTTTCCAATGTTTCAATTTTACGTTTTTCGAATTTTTGTCCTCTTCGATTCTACGGTTTTTAAATATTTCGATTCTTCAATTTTTCAATTTTTTAGGTTGTCGATTTCTCAATTTTTCCATTTTTTAATTTTTCAGTTTTTGGATATTTCATTTTTGAGATTTTTCAGTTTTTACATTCTTCAGTTTTTCTTTCATTTTTTAATTTTTCGAAATTTCAGTTTTGATATTTTTCAGATTATTTATTATTCAAGTTTTCGATTTTACAATTCCTCAATTTTTCAATTTTCCCATGTTTCAGGTTGACGTTTTTTCAGTTTTTCTCCTCTTCAATTTTACGATTTTTAAATATTTCGATTTTTCGATTTTTCAATTTTTGACTTTTTTAACTTCTCAGTAATGGATTTTTTGATTGATTCCTTGACTTTCGACTGTTTCGATTTTCCAGTTCTTCATCCTTCAATTTTTAATTTTTCGATTTCCCAGTTTTTCAATATTTTAGAATCTCAGCTTTTGGATGTTTCAGTTTCGGAATTTTTCTGTTTTTCCATTATTCAGTTTTTCTTTCATTTTTCAGTTTTTCGATATTTCAGTTTTGGGATTTTTCAATATTTCGATTGAAAAATTGAAATTGACTTTTCGATTTTTGACTTCTCTATTTTTCGACTTTATGAGTTTTCGATTTCTCGACCTTTCATCTTTCGATTTCCCAATATTTCACGTCGAGAAATCCACAAATTGAAAATTCGAGAAGTCGAAAAATATCGAAAAAAAGAAATACCCCAAAACCGAAAAATCCAAAAATTAAAAATTAAAAAACTGAAAATTGAAAACTAAAAAAATCGATAAATAGAGAAAGCGAAAAATTGAAAAATCGAAAAATTGGAAAACCTAAAAATCAAAAGTTGTGAAGTCGAAAAATCGAAAGTTTCCAAATCGAAAAATCTAAAATTAAAAAAAATTGAAAAATTAAAATATAAAGCAAATTGAAGACTTGAAAAATTGAAAAGTCGAGAAATTGAAAAATCAAAAAAATCGAAAAAGTACAAAATCCAGAATTCGAAAAAGTACAAAATCCAGAATTCGAAAAAGTAAAAAATTGAGAAATCGAAAAATCGAAAGGCGCAAATATCGAAAAATTGGAAAGTCTAGAAAAATTGAAGAATCTAAAAAGTGGAAAATCAAAAAACCGAAAAATCGAGAAATCAAAAAATTCAAAATTTAAAAAATCAAAAATTAGAAAAATTGGAAAATTGAGGAGTCAAAAAACTAAAAAATCGATGATAAATTGAAATGACAAAGAACTGAAGAACTGAAAAATCGAAAAATCTAATAATTGAAACGCCGAAAAGTCGAAAAAGCGAGGAATTAAAAAATCGAAACATCCAAATAACAGGGAAACTGAAAAGTCGAGTTTTCGTTTTTAGACGCCGAAAAGTCGAAAAAGCGAGGAATAAAAAAATCGAAACATTTAAATAACAGACAAACTGAAAAGTCGAGTTTTCGTTTTTAGATTTCCATTTTTCAATTTTTTGATGTTTCAATTTTTCAGTTCTTCGATATTTCTATTTTTCAATTGTTCGATTTTTCAAATTTGCGGTTTTAAGTTTCCGATTTTTCAAATTTCCTATTATTTCAATTTGTCATTTTTTTTCTCAGTGTTAATATTATACATACATAGTAGAAAACCGTGTTTCCAAAACAAAAATAACTACATTTTCCCGGAAAAAAAATTCATTGGATTATTACGATTTCAACAAAATTGTTAATTTAAGACATTTTGCTAGTATAAAACACAATTAAAGAATTTTTCTAAAGAAATGCGGATTTTGTAATTAAGCTCCGCCCTTTGAAGTGACAATCAATGAAAAATTCATCACAATTGAGACAGGGGCGGGTGGGTGGGCTTAATCATTAGTTTCTTTTTCTTAATGTATAGAGTTTACTTTCAACAACATAATACTTAAAACATAATTCTAACCTCAAATTCACCACTTGATATTTTAAGTATTTTATTCGTGAAAAGAATAAGCCCCGCCCACCCACCCCATCTCAAATGTGACGAATTTTTTTATTCGTCGTGAGACCGGAAGGTGGAGCTTAACTGCAAAATCCATATTTCTGTACAAGAAATTACGAAGTGAAATATGTTTAAAGCATTATCGTATTATTTTAAGAAAAAATTGGGAACGAAGAAAAGAAAAAACTTTACAACAACAAAACTTTATAATTTGCGCTTTTTTTTTAATATACGTAGTCTTTTTTTCATAACAAGTAGCTTAAAACTTGTTTCAAATGGTACATTTTTGTAGACAAATATTGATTTTGCAGTTAAGCTCCGCCCCTCGATCTGACAATGAATGAAAAATTCGTCACGATTTAGAGACGGGCGAGTGGGTGGGCATTAACCTTGCCCTTGTTTTCTTAATATATACAGTTTTCTTTCAATAACACTATACTTAAAACATGTATATATGGTAATTTCTTGCAAAGAAATAAGGATTTTGCAATTGAGCTTCGCCCCCCAGGCTCACCACTAATAAAAAAATTTATCACAATTGAAATGGCGGGGCTTACATTGAGTATTCTTTTCCTTAATATACATATAGTCATGTTTTCGAAACAATGTTTAAAATGGTAAATTTTTCTAAAGAAATGTGGATTTTGTAATTAAGCTCCGCCCTTCAAAGGGATAATAAATGAAAAGTTCATCACAATTGAGATAGGGGCGGGTGGGTGGGGTTTAATCGTGCGTTTGTTTTCTTAACATACAGTTTTCTTTCAATAACACGATCTTGAAACATGGTAATTTCTTGTAGAGAAATAAGGATTTTGCAGTTAGGCTCCGCCCTCTTGACTCACAACGAATAAATAAGATCATCACAATTGAGACAGGGCGGGTGGGCGGGGCTAACCTATTTCAATAAGAAAATACTTAAAATATCAAATAATGAATTCGACAGTAAACTCTATACATTAAGAAAAAGAAACCAATAATTAAGCCCCACCCAGCCGCCCCTATCTCAATTGTAATGAATTTTTCATTCATTGTCACTTTAATGGGGCGGAGCTTAATTGCCTCCATATCAATAATTTTTTACATGTTCATTCTTCTCCACATCTGTATCTAACTGCAAAACCGAATGGCCTGAATTTTTGAAAACTTTTTAAGATTATCATAAGCATGGTAAACGTTAATCAAAATTTATGCGTTTATCCTCTTCCAAAAAATTAAAAAACTAATGACCCCTTCACAAAATTTTGCCGAATAAATGTTATTTAAATTTTGTAGAATAACATACATCTGTATTTGTGGTTTATAAATCCGTATTACGATTTAATTTTAAAATTGCAAATAGCAAAATAGTGCGGACACTCTAGAAATGTTAACAATTATATAACTCCAAATCTTGTAGTTTCTAACATAATACTCGTTTTAAAACATGAAAAAAGCTACAGTTTGGTGTATAATACATCTATATTAATATCATTTTATCATAGAAAAATCCTAAAACAAAGCGTCAAATTTAGGTCACAGTTGGGTTATTAAACCTGCAAACAACAGTGATGCCAACATAAGAGATTTTAGTTTTACAATTTTGACGGGCTGTCGGACATAAAAGTGCTCAAAAACTAAACGACCTAATTTCGAACAGCAGTAACTTCATGCATTTTCGTTATTGTTTTCGGACGCAGTTTTCGATAACAATAGAAATGAGTTTGATCGCATTTGATAAAACTTGACGTCGCTAGAATAATGCCATAAATAAATAAGTTTAATAAAAATCGTCGATAAACATTGCAATAATAAACGCCGGCCGACCTTCAAGCATCTGCTTATGAAAATGAGTCTTTTAATAAGATCAAAGCCATCATAATACCACAATTTATTATCTATATGAATCCCACGCGCAATAACGAAAAATTAGTCTCCATTAAGTCGCTAATAGAACCAGTCGTGGCCGTTTTTTTAACATTTTATCACTTCGAGTCTGAAATAAACGCAAAAAGCCAAAAACAAGTCCATAGATCACAGTGTTACCAAAATTTTTCGTTTGAACCGACGCCAGTTTTACGAAATTGGAAACGTTCATCAATAAACGAAAACCAATCAATCGATCTACAAAAACACACATGAAAGGACCACCAGTAGAATTCCACTAATTATTTTTACGGCCGCAAAACAGAAAAAAAAAGTGAAACCGCGTAAAATTCCGCTCGGGTCCGTGTACATAATTCCATCTATGTGACCATTCTTTGTTTTAATCTCGGGGATTAAAAGCAGTAATTTATGTCTTCATGACGAGTAGTTCGAGTAGAGACAGTTACCCGACTTTCACAACAACGGCAACCATCTAACGGAGCAGACGTTTACCTTTACCCATAATTTTTCCCAGAAATGGTTGCGATTTCGGAGCATATGGCCTTCGTGGAAGCGCACTGCTGCCAACTTCGCAAAAAACGCGTGAAATACGGCCGCGTAAACGCTATTTTGGCGAACACAAACACGACAACCTGTTAATTTGAATAACAACTTCCGTGGTTGTAATCGTCGAAGATGGGATTAAAATTAGCGTATGAGTAGGTAATGTGTAATGCGGTTGCGTCAGCTCGAGTAGTACGGGGTGCGGGTGCTTCCCCCACGACGCCACCACCGAGGTGGTGTCCCCGGGGAATCCTCTTACGTCTTTGTTTATAAATACGGTGGAAAATTATCGCGCAAATTTACGCGTATTTTCCCGTCTTTGCATCATCGGCTTGCTCGAATTACTATCAGAGTTTCAGCGGAACTCGAGTGCGTCATGTCCTCGCGCGAACTTGTCGTCCGATCAGTAATGCCATTAACAGTTCGAGCCTCCGCAAAGCCAGACATGTCCCACGTTTTTGTCTCCAAACTTTACCGTTTCGACTTATCATCACAAAGGTGAGCAATAGTTTTATCACGGCAGCCCCGCGCGCATCCGATCGAGGACACGTCACGTAAAGAACCGGCTATATGTAGTTTCACTCGTGCGCGCGGTCAGTTCTCGTCAGGCTTTCACCGAGAGCGCTCCGCAAAAAGTGAGAATGCCCCACGACTTCGAAAAAACCCGCCACAGTAGTAGTGCCAACCTAACACGCATGCGTCCCGCAATACCCTATCACCTTCAGTAGGCGCTGGATTTTGCCGGGATAAGAACCGAACATGGAAAAATCGAGTTTCGCGGATTTCCTCACGTGTCCGAGCGTGCTGAGTGCGGTGTTCGTCGGCGGTTGCGTCTTGTTGCTCGCTTACATTTTAAAATCCTTCCGGAATGCGAGCACTGAGGAGAAAGATCAAAGTAAGTGGCTGTCACATGTGTCACTTGTCACTCGTGACGTTTGTGCACGCTGCCGGACATAACCTCGAAATCGAGGGGGCCCGGGGGCCGAGATGGTCGTCGCGTTTGTGAGTCACGTGCAGGATATGAGTCATGACCGCGTTTTGTCTCGTTGCAGGTGAGCCCGGCTCCTCTACCGTCGAAAGAAAGAAGGACAGCGCTGTTTCCAAGCAGAAGAAGAAGCAGAATTGGACCCGAAGCGCCGACCAAGCCTACGCCCAGCCCTGGTTGCTCAAAACCCTCAAGAACCACACCGGCCAGGTGCACACCATCGACTTCTCCAGCAACGGCAAATACCTGGCGTCCTGCGGCGAAGGTAGGCCTAGCTTAAGCTCGGCGTGGGGGCCGGCGTTCGGCACTGACTTCTCTTTATGTGCAGAAGAACCCGACCCAGACCCAGACCTAGACATGAACAGCAGCAGCGGTTCGGAGTGTAATAAGGAGAACAGCAGGCCCCCGTCCGCCGACCCCAGTCCGCGCACGAAGGGGCTGTCGCGGCGGCAGCGCAAAAACCGCCGACGCGAAGACTCCTCTCCCGACAGCAAGAAAAAAAAAGAGTCGAAGCGAGAGCCGCTCACGCAGTTCAAACTCAGCATTTCGGAGCGAGTCTTCGTGGCGCTGCTGCACCCCCACATGCTCACGAAAGAGCAGCTCTACGTGGGCGGCTTCCCGGTGCAGAGCCCGCTGCACAACAACTCGGTCGTGTTCTTGGTCAACAGCAGCTCGTTCAGCAAGAGCCGGTTCGACGTGAACGCGCGCGAGTTCGTGCCGCGGCTCACGAGCGAGTCGCGCGACGCCAGCGACTCGGAGGAGAGCTCGGGCTCGGAGCCGGACGCCTCCTTCTACGTGGTCAACGCGAACGTGGGGGTGGAGCGGCTGTGCGCGAGGTGCGGCCGCGGTTTCTTCACCACGGACAAGGAGTACCTGACGCAGGAGCGCTGCGTCTACCACTGGGGCAAGCTGCTGACGGTGCCCCGGGGCGGCGTGGGGGCGCACTACTCGTGCTGCAACGGCAAGCCGGGCTCGCTGGGCTGCACCACGTGCAAGCTGCACGTGTGGAGCGGGGTGCTGCCGGGGCTGAACGGGCCCTTCGAGGGCTACGTGAAGACGCGGCAGCGCAGGTCGACGCCGGCCGACGGCAACTACGGGGTGTACGCGCTGGATTGCGAAATGTGCTACACGGTGGCGGGGTTGGAGTTGACGAGGGTCACCGTGGTGGCGGTGGACGGGAAGCTGGTGTACGACTCGTTCGTGAAGCCGGTTAACGAGATCATCGACTACAATACTCGGTTTTCGGGGATCACGGCCAAGGACCTCAATCACAACGCGAAAAAGTTGAGAGAAGTACAAAACGACCTGCGGGGGTTCATCAACGCGGACACCATCCTCATAGGGCACGGCTTGGAGAACGACCTGAGGGCGTTGAAGCTCGTGCACAAGACCGTCGTGGACACGGCGTTGGTGTTTCCGCACTATCACGGGTTTCCGTACAGACGCTCGTTAAGACAGTTGGTTTCTTCGTACTTAAAGAAGGAGGTGCAGTGTGGGTCCAACGGACACGATAGCTACGAAGACGCTTGTGCTTGCATGGAACTCGTCAAGTACAAGATTTGGAAGGAGAACAAGGATTTCATAATGATGTGACCGCTCATTTCATCATGCTTTATTTATTTTCGCGTCATTTATCACCTCATTTGTGATATAGTGTTTGTGATATTGACAGAATCTCAACGTGATACAGGAATGGATTTACTCGTAAATTGTAAATTACCTGTGCGAGACTTTGTGTTTTTAATTTTAAGTACTTAAGCTAGGTTTCATCCTTGATTGTTACTGTGTAACTTACACCGTAGGCTAAGAGTAACGTCACTGGAAAGTTCCTATCCTTTTCATACTTTTGTACATGGTGCTCAGCCATCTGCCACTTGTCTTTTCCGTTTTGTTTTGTTAATTCGAGTATTATAGGTTAAGTCATGTGTTCATTACGATATTGTTGTTATCTTTGTTTCATATGAAAAAAACGAAAACACGAAGGCAAGGCTGTGTCTGATGATACAATCGTATCAATATTTTTAATAAATTTTTTAATTAAGCCACAGCGTTTTATTAACCCCCAGTGAAAGCACAACGTAGGTCCCGATTTCTCATATCCACACAAAAATCGCCTTTCATACATGATAACGAACGCATAACAGTGAAAGTGGTGAAAGTATTTATTTATAGACGCTCTTAAAACTTCAAGTTCAACACATACGTTTTTAGCGAGGATTTCACTGCACTTTCGACTACATTCTAATCTGATAAGAAAGCGCATTTTTTATTCGTCTTTGTGCATTTTTTCGGCGTTCTATTTTAGAAAGTGGCGATGCGGCGAAAAATAGCGCCGCAGCTATAATTGTCATCGGTAAAAATAAACAACGGAATGGGAGAGACACGCCCCCGGGCGCGGACACGCCCCCATTACCACTGATGACGTGGCACGCCCACGCGATCGACGAATCGGATTAGGGGCGGTCATGGACTCGACCAACGAAAAACGACAAAAAAAGGGCTAAATTACCGCAATTACCCCATAAACCTTGAACTTAAGTTTTTAAAGCGTTTTGGGGAATGTCGACTTAATGGATCAGCTTAAAGTCAGCCCCGTAGCTACGGGGGGGCAAGAGGGGGCTGAGCCCCCCCCTAGCAGTTGCGGTTGCCCCCCCTGGAAGACTTATACATTATAAATTTCAAATTAGTAATAAAATTTCAATATAATGCCGATTGCCGAAGCATATTAACTGGCCCCACCCGCCCCACCTTTATTTTCGTACAGGGTATATTATTTGACCGTATAAAAAAATGAACATGTCACATTTTATTCCATAGCCTACTATGTAGGTACTTGAGAAAAGTCAAAAATATTATATGGATTTTCTAAAAATTGAGCTTTTATTGAAATGGACAAAAAATTCTGAGATGTAGATTTCGATGAGCTTAATCAAAAAACATAAGGTCTTGATGGTCCCAGACCAAGATTTTTCAAAAATTCGGTTCCAAAGTCGACATTTCAAAATTTCTCAAAAATTACATTTCTTTTGGCGGCTCTGGAAAAATTGTACGAATTTTCGAAAAAATAAAACCAAAAAAAACATTTGGAGATCGAAATCAATAAAAAGATCCCTTCTGCTAGTTTTCGAAAATGCGTGGGAAAAGTCAAATTTTTTTTATAGATTTTCAAAAATTGAGCTTTTGTTGAAATTGGCTGAAAATCTACAAAAAATTCTGAGATGTAGATCTCGACGAGTTTAGTCAAAAAACATAAGGTCTTGCTGCTATTCGGTTTCCAAGTCGAATTTTTAAAATTTCTCAAAAATTATACTCCTATTTCTTTTGACGATTCTAGAAAAATTTTACAAATTTTCGATCAAATAAAACCAAAAACAACATCTGAAGATTGAAATAAATAAAAGAATGACTTTTGGTAATTTTTGGAAATGCTAAGAAAAGTCAAAATTTATTTAGTTTTCAAAAATTTAGCTTTTGTTAGAGTTGACAAAAAATTCTGAAATATAGATCTCGATGAGCTTAATCGAAAAACATGTTCATGCTCCCGGAGCAAAATTTACGAAATATTGGGTTCTACCTAAAATTTCTAAAAAATCTCAAAAGTGACTTAAAAAAAAGTTATTTCTTTATGCGATTGTGGAAAAATTCGACGAAATATCAAAAAAATAAAACCAAAAATAACATCTGTAGATCGAAATCAATAAAGAGATCCCTTTTGCTAATTTTCGAAGATGCTTGGGAAAAGTCAAAAAATGTATATGGATTTTCAAAAAATTTCAACCAAATAAAACCAAAAACAACATCTGGAGATCGAAATCAATAAAGGAATCCCTTTTGGTAATCTCGAACGTGCTTGAAAAAAGTCAAAAATTTGATACAGGTTCTCAAAAATTGCCATATTTCTTCCGTCGATTCTGGAAAAATTGTAAGAATTTTCAAAAAAATTGAATCCAAAACGATTTTTGGAAATCGAGATGAACAAAGGAGTCTCTTTTGATAATTTTTGAAAATGCTTGGAAAAAGTCAAAAATTTTATATGGGTTTTCAAAAATTGAACTTTCGTAAAGTTGACAAAAAATTCTGAAATACAGATTTGGACGAGTTTAAAAAAACATGACAGGTTCATGGTTCCGGATCAAAATTTTCGAAATACTCGGTTTCGAGCTCGAATTTTCAAAATTTCTCAAAAATTACCATATTTCTTTTGGCGATTGTGGAAAAATTGTACGCATTTTCGAAAAAACAACCAAAAACAACATCTGGAGATCGAAATCAATAAAGGAATCCCTTTTGGTAATCTCGAACGTGCTTGAAAAAAAGTCAAAAATTTGACACAGGTTCTCAAACATTGCCATATTTCTCCCGTCGATTCTGGAAAAAAAGTTAGAATTTTCAAAAAAATTGAATCCAAAACGATTTCTGGAAATCGAGATGAACAAAGGAATCTCTTTTGGTAATTTTCGAAAATGCTTGGGAAAAGCCAAAAATTTTATATGGGTTTTCAAAAATTGAACTTTCGTAAAAGTTGACAAAAAATTCTGAAATATTGATTTCGACGAGCTTAAAAAAACATGACAGGTTCAAGGTTCCGGATCAAAATTTTCGAAATACTCGGTTTCGAGCTGGAATTTTCAAAATTTTTCAAAAATTACCATATTTCTTTTGGCGATTATGGAAAAATTGTACGAATTTTCGAAAAAACAACCAAAAACAACATCTGGAGATCGAAATCAATAAAGGAATCCCTTTTGGTAATTTCGAATGTGCTTGAAAAAAGTCAAAAATTTGATACAGTTTCTCAAAAATTGCCATTTTTCTTCCGTCGATTCTGCAAAAAATGTAAGAATTTTCAAAAAAATTGAATCCAAAACGATTTTTGGAAGAAATCGAGATGAACAAAGGAATTCTTTTGGTATTTTCGAAAATGCTTGGGAAAAGTCAAAAATTTTATATGGGTTTCCAAAAATTGAGCTTTTGTTAAAGTTGACAAAAAATTCTGAAATACACATCTCGACGAGTTTAAAAAAACATGACGAGTTCATGGTTCTGTACCAAAATTTTCGAAATATTTGGTTTCGAAGTCGGACTTTTAAAATATGTACTAAACATGCAAAAAAATAAACTCAAACAAATTGGATGTTACCTATATGGTCACTACACAAATTTTTGGATGCAGTACAGCTGTTTGTGAATCTACATTCTCTGTTTTAACCAGCATTTTGACCAAGTACCGTACTAATTTTTTGGACTTCGACAGGTTTTTACGAAAATTTAGCGTGAAAAATCGACGTTTCCAATTAGTTTAATGTTTTTTCAAATATAAAAACTCAGAAAAAATAAAGTAGTTAGGTATCTGAGTGTATTATTAAAATATAAATATTTACATGAAGCCCCCTCTGTCGACAAACTTGCCCCCCCTGAATAAGTTTTCTAGCTCCGGGGCTGCTTAAAGTGCACTTTTATTTGAAAAAAAACGACTTCAAGTGCATTAATTAGAAATCTTTTAAGATTATTCCGGTAAAAATTAATAAATTTGTAGTAGGTGAGTCATTCCATGTGATTACCTAATTATTCATATTAACGGAAAACTGAGTAACAATACGTACGCGCGACACTCCCGGCAGACGACCTCTCGCGTTTTAAAAAACCATTCTCATTGGCGTGTCGCTCTGACGCGTCAATTCATCATTGGTTAACGGCGTGGGCGTGTCGCGACAATTCTTGATAAGTAGGCGTGTCGTTCGTGATTTAAAAACCTAAGGACGCTTTGTATTGTTGCAGACAGGGCCGTCCTCTTGTGGGACTCTAAGGACCTGACCCAGAAAGACATCAAGTCTTTGCGGGTCAACATAGAGTTCGACCACCCGACTTTCGTGAAATGGAGTCCCGACTCGAAGGCTTTCATCATCCACAAGTTTAACGAAAACGCGATTGAAGTGTACAAGATAGAGAAGAAGAAGGATGGGTGGTTGGGGCACGCCACGAAGGCTTTGACGTTCCCCAAGGTAAAACTAAAACCGACCGAAATTTTACAGTTGCGGTTTACCCTTGTCGACAATACCCATTCATTATTTTTGTTTCAAACAAAAACTCAGCGTCAACATAAATTTCAGCCAAGGCCGGCGTTGTATAACCTGACCTAAAACTCCATTAGTTATGGTTTTATTATTCACGTTTCATTCAATTCAAAATTAATTTTCCAGCTTTTTACTCACAATTCGCGTTTAATGAATATTAATAAAATGAATCATGGTTGCGTCACTGCAGGCTCACGAAACCGACGTCATCGGAATGGGGATCGCTGGTAACGGCAAGTACATCATGTCGTGCTCGAACAAGACCGACCTGGTGGTCTGGGACTTGAAGGGTCAGAAGCTGGCTCAAGTGGACACCTACTTGATGACGACGACGTGTGCCAAAATATCGCCCTGTGGAAGATTTATCGTGGCTTCAGGGTTTGCTCCAGACGCCAGAGTCTGGGAAGTGTTGTTCAGCAAGAGCGGCGAGTTCCAAGAGGTGAAGCGAGTCTTCGACTTGACTGGGCATTCCTCGGGGGTGTACGACGTCGCTTTCGACGCGGATTCCTCCCACATGGCCACGGTGTCCAAAGACGGCACTTGGAAGCTATTTGATACTAAAAGTAACCCGAAAATCAACTCTCAACCCGTCTTAACACAATCATTTTCAGTCGAGTACAAGAAAGGCGAAGATCCTCATCTAAAAATCACCGGAAAGTACCATCAAGCCGCCCCTCATTCTCTCATCGCCCTTTCACCCAACGCCGAAGTCGTCGTGATCGCAACCGGCAGTTCTCTAGCTTTCTATTCGACTTTAACAGGTCATCACGACTACACCATTGACAATATTTATTCAGGTAAAGGTCGGCGCGATTTACTCGCGAGTTAAAGCGGACCGTTTCAGGAAGAATTACGTCAGTCCTGTTCGATGCCATGGGGAAATATGTGCTCACCAGCGGCGACAAGTACGTCAGAGTTTTCCATAATGTCACAGGGTACCGTTGCAGCATCGCCACGGCTAAAGACA